CTGGAGTAGGAACTCTGTCCATGCTCTGTTGAGGAGTCTATGCTCTGTTGAAGAGTTCCTACAGTCCTCTGAAGATGCCGGCCACAGAGACTGGAGAAACGTCAGGAAGAACAAGCTTCAGAACACAGTCAAAGAGCCCAAAAAACCCACAACAACCATCAGATCCCTACTGTGAAAGCCTTTGAGAATACTCTAAATTGTGCTTGTGAATGGACTGGTAGCTGGTGAATGTGTTGGAGGGAATTAGATATATGGTCTCTATAACTGGCTCCACCACCATAAATCTCAGAACATTCTTTAAGGGCAGCTGCATGTAGAACACAGTGCAGTGACCTAGTCTGGATGTAACTAAAGCTAAATATTCAGGAAAGATTTTTGATTAATGAGATTGATTTATTGATTTATGCCTAGAATAGACAACATGGACACTGCTATGCATAAAACCAAAAATGCCCCACCTGAACCTGTAATCTCTCACTCAGTTGAGGGGAAAAAGAGGGAACTATGTTGGGCCCCCAAACTTTCCAAATATGCCTCCATACTGCCCAGAGGGCACAGGGTGTTGTATTAGCCAGTTTCTTAGAATATATGTTTGGGGGTTAGGGGCTCTGGAAGCACATTTTGGTTCCTGGGGGGGACTCTTGTGGTTATGAACTACACATTAATCACATACGCTCTTCACCCACAATGGCCTTGCCAGTACCTTTGATATTTACCTTTTTAAAAATTAATGTTTGGAAGTAAAACTGTTCAGCAGCTAGAGGTTACCTAGTGATTTGTGTTCCCACCAATGACTCCCAAAGGAAGGCAGCTATGTTTCCCTCTGCTTGTGCTTGGTGGGGATTTGTAGATGAAAGTGGTATACACAGGGAAGGGCTGCAGGTGGGATGAATATGGGCACATCTGGGTAAGGGGACACAATGGGCTGGGAAAGATAGCTGGATTCCTGACCTCATCCGATGTAGGGGAGAAAGACATGATGTGGGCAGAATGGGGCCATGATGAGCAATGGGTGGCAAAGGGAAGCCATAAAATGTCTATGGGACATCCCCTCCAGGGGGTAGGGATAGGGAGATAGTCTGGTCTGAATGTTTTGTTTTGTTTTGCTTGGGTGTGTTTTTATGCTTACCTCAGTGTGTGCCTATACTGGAGGAGTGAAATACATAAGTGACCAGGTTCCACTTTTGATGCAATAACATGGCAATGGTCCATGCCACAAGTTCCTTAACAACCAGGTGATCACAGGTTATTGGTCTGGTCGAGGCCTTTACCTTGAAATGTCTGTAGTGTAACATAGTTTTCTCAGCATGCCACATGCGTCAACTGAGCAGTGACATTCTAGCTGCTCTGTACTTGCATCACCTGAATATTGTTTTCAGATGTCCAGAGTTGTACTATAGTGATAGTATGTTTGCTTCAGATGTGCAGGAATGCTTATAAGCCATATTGGATGGCTTAATGGGGGCAAGGTGCTAAGCTGCCGTTTGCTCCATTGCTATTGAGGGAGTGTGGAAGGATAGGTATAGATAGTCAGCTCTCAGAGGGCACCTTTGGATCGAGTGGGGCTCAGTGGACAGGTTTCTAAGGATCCTGTGACTCAGAGGCCTTCCACGGATCAGCCTTTGGGGTCAGATGGGATACAAGCTCCTTTGATTCATGTGAGCTGGAAAGGAAATGGGCCTAGACTGATCTCCCAAAGTTTATATACATTTAATGCATACATCCATATATTTCTGGACCCTTCTACCAGGAAAATTATAGTCGTATTCCAAGTATATTATAAAGACCAATAAATCCCATATGCTTCTGGATGTCTTTTACTCTCTATTCCATTCATATAGACAATACAAGGATGTCTGTCTGTTGCAAAAGAATTCATAATTTTTATTGCAGTTTGGTAGTTAATTTTTTTATGCAGTGCTATCTGTCATACTTTAGAATACCATGCTTCAATTAATATTCATGGAATAGTCTTCCACCCTTTGGCTACAGTCTGTTTTGCAGCTACTTGAAGATGGTCTATTTAAAGGTTTAGGTAAAATGGGCTCATTCTTCCCTATGAAGTGCTAATTCCAGAGATTTAGTAATAGACTGATTTATAATTTTGTTTGATCATTAAATATCTCTTCCCAAAACTGGCCTACCTTTTTTTGCAACACCATCAAAGGTGTTGAAATGATCAGTGAAGCAGAAGTGGGGTCATACACCATATCTGGAATATTTTCAATGTTGCCTTCTACAGAAACCCTTTTATAAGGAAATTTTTTGAACATTTCTGATCATTTCTCTTTATCAAATTTAATATTCCAGTCATTTCCCCACATCTCACACAGCCCCAATGAAGAGCCCAGATCTGCTTCAATCAAAAAAGAATAAAGTATTTATTTCAGCTACAGAAGGGAAAGATCTTCAAAGGGGGTGAGTCACCTCGTGGCTGCTTCATGATGTCAGCTTGTCTAATAAAATTACTTGTTTGACACAAAGTTAGCCATGATATGCCCCTGTGTCTGAAGTGGACCCTCCAAAAATCCCTAGGTTGTTGATTGATGTAGAACACTATTAACCTAACAAGGCTGATCTTTACAAACATTTTAGGAGTTAAATACATCATCATACATGAGAGACCTGGTTGACAGCACATTGGTACTAGGGGTACTAGTAGGAGCTTCTCGTTTCTTTGTTACCACAATGGCATTGAAAGATAACATGGCATTGCAAGATAACATTGAAATATTAACATTTCAAAGCTGATTTTTAAACTGCCTTTTCACATAAAGTTTTTTTTAGCTCAAATACTTCCCCCTCATTCCTTTTCTATTTTAAGCCCAGGGGTTTGGTCAGATCTTATGTCTAGCTACATCACATCATGAGGTCAATAGGCTTCCTAAAAAGCGTGAAGTAACAAAATGCCCTAGGCCCCTTTACTGATCAGATGGTAACAGAAGGATTTGTCTATCCTAGGCTATATCCCCTTAAGGATATATATTTCAATGCCTTTCCACCACATTTTAAATGTGCTATCCTGAATTTTTTAAAGCAGGACATAAAAAAGACAGGTGAATCACAGTAAACTCATCATCTTAACCAAAGCAGTCTGGCTTGGTAATACAGTAATAGCTTATATTTCTCCAGTTTTTCCGTAACTGCTTTGGATGTTTTCCATATACGGTAGTTGGATTGAAGAAGCTTGGTGGGATTTTTAGTTATGATGACTCCTAAATACTTAAAGCCTTTATTTGTGAGTGGGACTTTTAACTTGTTACATATTCAAATTTGTACTGAGGTGTTATAGCGAAGTACATAAAATATGATTTCCTAAAATTCACTAGGAGCCCCACAGTCTCAGATAATTCCTCTAATTACTTTAATATATAAGGATTGCTCCTAGAGAATTCCTTAACATCAATATCACACCATCAACATATAAGCTGATGATACAAGTTAAATTCCTAATACGTATCCCCTAAAAGTTCTCATTTTCCCTTATAAGTGAAGATAAAAATTCTATCACCAGAGTGACTAGCAGGGGTGAAAGGGGGCACCCTTGTTTAGTTCCTCTCCAAAGCTGAAACTCTTTAGAGTCCTGGTCATTCATCCAGAGCCTAAAGTGCATAGGGTAATAAAATGAATGTAATACTGACGTAAATTCAGGGGAAATTTTTAAAAATTCCAAAGAATTAAGTAGAAATTTCCAGCTGGCACAATCAAAGGCCTCATAGAAATCCAGAGCCACTGATGCTAGTGGGAGTGGTTTTTCTTGATATAATTCATTACTCCAAATAATCTCCTGATTGAATCTGCAATATATTTCTTCAAACTAAAGCCAAACTGATCTGCATGTATCATTTTTACAAGATAGTGCTTAAGGCATATTGCTAGTACTGATGCGAATAATTTCTAACTTGTATTGAGATGTGAAATAGGCCTATACGACTCCACTGACAAGGGGTTCTTCTGTGGCTTTAATAATACCATCACTCTGGAGTGAGTCCATGTCTTTGGGAGTTGGACCCCCTCCAGCATAACCATCTAGATACCAAGATTTCCCTGAAATGTTTATAAAAGGTACCAGTATATCCATCTGGCCCAAGGGTCTTTTAGGTTTGATATTTTTAATTACTTCCTTAATTTCTTCTAATGTGATATTCTTCCTGCTTTCCTCATCTAAGAATTTCATCACAGTGGGTGCCTGTTGTTGATCAATATCACCAGAAATTGAACAAGAATAAGAATATAAGCACGCATAAAAACCTGTAAAAGCTTCGAGTATCTTGGGTGGATCTCAACAACTTTCACCATTCTTATTTATTATAGCAGAAATCCTAGTTTTTCTCTTCATAGTTTTTAACCTACTTGCCAAAGGCTTGGAGCCCTCCCCATCAAAATTCATAGTACCTTTGTTAAAGGTGTAACGTTCCTATCATAGTTCTACTTATATCTACTGCATTTAATTGTCTGTTTTCTATCTAAGATTGACCGTAATTTTTGCAACCCACTCTCCTTATAGTCTCCATTATGGAAGTTGTTTCTGATTCCAAGTGGCTTACTTTCTCATTTCTCATTATTTTAATCTCTGATAATTCCTTTGCAGAAATACCACAGAATACAGCTTTCACAACTTCCCGTCTATTGGAGATATCCCTCACACCCGTCCCCCTATGTTGTGATGACCAGTTGGGATACAGCTGTGAGTACACTGAACTTTTGAGAGCTATCTCAGCAAGGCAGAGGAGGAGTCTGGGAAGGAACCTGCTTCTGTTCTGTTTCTGCACTATGGTAGGCATCTCTGCAAGCGAAGGGGATGGTTAAGCTAAATGTTTTCAGTAGTAGCCATTAACATGTCTCATCTCTTGATTTTGGGTTGGTAGGCACAGTACAGCTGCTAATACTGTGGGTGTTGTACTAGTGCAATGGCATCATTGGGTACAGGCCTGTGGAATCAATAAACTATCTCTCTGAGTAACAGTAGAATACGAATAGCACAAATACTTAATACTTACAATGTATTTCTAGAACTTGCTTTGCTATCTGGGGTTTGGAGTGCAAGGACTCATGATCTACCCTGCAACTTACAACTGCACCGTCATCACTACGATCTGCTTTGAAATTCATTGTGCTGCTGACGGTAAATGTTTTCCGATTTGCATCTTCTTCTTTTACATATTTAACATCTGAAAAAAAAAATAATATAAAGTTTGCTATAGTTTAGCACCACGGTTTGGGCAATAAAAGGCAAAAGAAGGCTATAGTACATGAAACCATTTGAATAGCAAATGAGAAAAGCACCTTTCATAATGTTTGCTCACTCTTTCAAAGCAAACAAAGTTCTATTTCCAGGCATTACATTATTTGTCTTACAAAACTACCAATGCCGTCATTCCAAAATGTACATAGACACAGATGGGAAAAGCAATTTCAATATCAACCAAAAGGCAGAACTGTCAGAATGAGATTCTGCTCCTCATTATCTCTGATATAACTAGATTACAATCCAAATAGTCTCCTCCTGAAGCCCATTAAAGAAACAGAATCTCTCTTTCTCTCCCTCACTCATTCTCATTCTTCCCTTTTCCCTTAAATCATCTGATTAGGATTTCTTTTATCTACTCATTTCTGAATGCTTAGTCCTGAAAACAATATATTGAAAAGGAATCAGAAGTCTAAAATATTTTAATAAACCATATAAAAATGTCTAATAACAAGCTAACTGTTGTTTGCTCAGCATTTGTTACAAAAAAGTTTTTCAAAACAGATGATAGCATTGAAATGTGATGGGAAAGGAACATTGTTACCTACTTAACATATTCACTGTCCTGTTCAGCTAAGCTCCATTTTGTTTAGCATTGAGGAAGAATAGCTCCTCAAAGTCTAAAACTCAATTTAGAGCTAAGGAATGGTGGCCTACTTATTTGTGAATATGGAACTACATTTTGAGAGCAGAGGCATGAAAATCATTGATAGCTTCCTTCCAAGAGGCATTCTGGGGAAATACACAAGAAGGACAATAATGAGTGCTGTAAGTTTAGTCACTGGTGAATTTTACTTCCTACGCGACAGAAATGCGGCAGAGAGATGATCTCCAGAATTTCTTTTGTCACATCTTGTCCCTGTGAAAAATTATGCTGCTAAATCCAAACAATGAGGTGTGCATACTAAGAGAGCAACAGTAGAGCAGATGGGAGGACAGTGTGTTGTGTACCACAGGTTAGCAGCCTGTAGTGAGAGCTCAGAAGCAGCATGTTATAAGCAACATTACTGGCGGTATCACATTACCTTTGGGGGACAAGGGCATAATGCTGTTAGGTTTCCAATAATAATGCACAATTTCAGTATAAGTAACACGTGCCAGTTATTTCAAACTTTTTTTCTAGGGTCATTGTTCTATTTTTAAAAGTTCCTTAAATGACAATTAAAAACGAAACATGACTCTTAACACATTACAAGTATGATCCCCTTAAGTTACATGAATGATGATAATGATGATGTGCTGTCAAGTCAATTTTGACTCATGGCAACCCTTTTCAGGCTTTTCTAGGTAGAGAATACTCAGAGGTGGGTTACCATTCCCTTCTTCTGGGGGCATCCAGGGACTGTGCAGCTTGCCCAAGGCTACATAGAGTGGGTTTTCTCCCAGGAGGCACAGTTAGGAATTGAACTCTCAACCTCTGACTCCACATCCAGATACCTAACTCAGCGAATTATCCAGCCAACTACATGAATGTTAATATACTATCAATTTTAAAGTAACATCTAAAAGTTAATGCATTACATTTTTTTAAATAACAAGAGTAAGCTCTGCATGGATGATTCAAATTCTAGAGATATCTATTTTAAAAATAGCAGAGTATTAGCCTTATGCTTTGTTAGAAAGGACACTAAAAGAAAAACTAAATATTGGGTGATAGGAACTGTAACTGTAACCATTTACTTTTAAAAAGGAACTTGGGGCAGGACGGTCTACTCACTGATCTGCCGCTGCCACAGACGCCACAATTCTTCCAATGGCCTCACAGATCATGATCGGCTAGCCACTCCTGGCAGGAGGTGGACGGACAAGCCTCGCTGCAAGGTTGAAGAGTGGCTCACAGATTGCTATCTGCAGAGCCATTGGAAGAATCGTGGCGTCCGCAGCAGCGGTGGATTGGTGAGTGGGCCATCCGGCCCCATGGAGCTGATGGCTTCTGCAGCAGCAGTGGATTGGTGAGTGGGCCATCCGACCCCATGGAGCTGGACCCTCGGTATCGCAACCTGTGTGGGGATATTCATATACAAATCGGTATCACAACCTGTGTGGGGATATTCATATACAAATACAAATACTGTACCCCCATGTCTAGTTTATTGAATTGGACAAGAGGTGTAGCAGTGCAGTTTGGATGCTTCCAGATTGACTTTTTATTCTGCAATTGTCTTTCTTGAAATTTTACAGGGAGAAGAAATGGTCCAGATGAATTGACTTTCATCATTAATAGTGTTATGTTTACAAACCAGTTCTTCCACCTTCTTTTTTCTGTAGAAAACTACTCAGAAGGGAAATATCAAATAGTTGCACAATACCTTTTGATTGGTAGCAGTGTATCTAGAAGAATACTATGAACACTGTCATTTAACTACTGCTCTTCAGTGTCAAAATTTATCATCTCAGGGCATAATCACATGGACCAAAAGAACCATTATTATATTAATTGTGTCATTATTTAAATAGTTTCATAAATTTCCATTCACATGACACACAGGTAAAATCAATTCGTTTGGCCAACCAATTGATTTTTTTTTCAACCTTGCCCGCATGGGCTTTTTAAAATGATCCAATCCCTGAATTGCTTCTATCCATATTGGTTTGGCATGTGCGGATGTTGCTGTCAATTTACTTTGCACCCACTTGTGCTTTTGGAATCATGGGCACTGCATGGCCCTTGAATAGCAAAAGGCACAAGGGACGGAAGTGCTGAGGAACTGTCTGGGAACAGGATGGTATTTGAAGGTGTCCTCTTCTCATTACATGACCAAAAAAAAAAAAAAAAAGCTTGTACTGTAATTAGACTTATTGAGGTTCTTCTTTAGTTTTAGTGATTTGCTGCAAACTGCAACTACCTGTATTATATTTTACCAAAACAACAACAACACACTTTTCTGGAGAGCATTGGGAAACAATGTGATGTAGGAAAAAAGAAACAAAAGAAAAAAAGATCTTGGGGCTATTGTTCACTTCAGATTCCATTTTCTGAACAGCTCTGTTGTGGGCACTGAAACAATATATACTTAAGGTATAAGTACATATCATATTATAATCTTTGTTTACAGATAGACCCCATGGACTTTTCAACTACTTTAAAATTGATTCTGTGTCTCTTGGACCTGAATTAATTGTGGTGTCATGTCCTTTATTCCCAGAGCTGAAGTGCATAATCTTGAAAACAACATGCTTCATCAAACACTTACCCTAATTCAGTGACTTGTTGTGGCAATGCAAGCCTTAAAGCTTTGATGGAAGAGCACCAAAGATTCAATTGTTTCAACAGATTCACTATTCCTCCTACACAGAGTGATGCACATGTGGAGCTTCTGCTTAAATAAAATGAATGAGGCAGCGCCTATGTACTAATACTTCACTTCTGCTTCTCTAAGATACACGACTCTCTGGATATGGGATATAAGAGTGTTGGCTAGAGGAATTCAAGATGTAATGTAATATGTTATTTTCTTTACACAGACATATTTATTGCCAATTGATTTTTGATTATCAGTATTCCCTTGAATGGCAGCCTTAATGTGTTTTTTGGTCAGCATAGGGTTATTCTAGTGAAACTGCACGTGTTCTCTGTATTTTAATCAAATGAAGCAAAAAGTGGCTTTGCATATATTTCACTAGGTCCTTATCAGAGGAACATAACCTATGTAATACTTCTGTGAAAAGCACACATTTCAGCATGTCTCCTCTGAGTATGTAGGTGTATGAAAGAGAATGGTAAAAGTGTAGGGAATATGTACACATAATTGTTAATTATAGCTGGCAGTCAATATGTTCAGCATATATGCTTGTCTAGATGAGGTCTTACATACCTTAGTTTTTGAACTCAAGCATGGTTCTGTGGCTTGACCAAAGATGTTGCTGAAGTGCAACCAGATAGCATAGCTAATGAGGAAGGATCATCTTTGGTCTAGATAATAGTCACTGCAGCTACTGGACATATATTGCTCTGTGCACCAGAAAAAGGCAATAACCATAACATGTACTGTAAGTGTCTGGTTGTACATATGTTTGGTCACACATCCTTGGATACTACACACTTCTTTGAGAGACAGAGCTTTTTCAAGTATTTCACTGAAAACAGACATGTTTAAACATTTTATATGTGAATATAATGGGACAACTGCCTAAGGTTGCATCACTTCTTGGATAGCTAGTGTTTAAATTGTTCAGCTCTGATGTGGGAGACCTAGGTTTAAATGTCTACATAAACATGACACTAGCTGGGTAACCTTGGGCCAGTCACAATGTAAAATTGGCCATGGTCCACCCTGAAGAAAAAGCACACTCTATTTTATATTGTCAAGCATAGTGAAGCAATCTTCTACAAGCTATCTGTATAGGTGGCAAAGGATTGGTAGCATCCTGTTAGAAATGGACCATGAGAGAAATGGAAGGCATGAGTTAGCACGTTGAACTGCTATAAAAGGACAACATCCTGGGAACTGAACTTTTATTCCACAAAATCTTTTATGTGGCTTATGGGAATTAAATTTGAGTATTAGTACAATGGCAGTGGAAATTGCAAAGGAACAAAAAGCCATTTTCACATATTTAGCTCAGTTTAGCACATGTTTTGGTGATGTAATGCCTGTGGCATAAGTCATATAACTGATAAAATGTTTTAACAAGTACAGCATGTGGTCATAAATTACTTCTGTTTAGTCGTTTCATTCTTAGAACCATTTATTATCTTATTCTTTTCTTATAGCATGTTATAATTTGGCCTACCTGTTAACCTCCAAAAAGTCTTATCAACAGCCCTACTCATGTCTTGTAAATAAAAGGCTGTGGTTTTCATACTTCAGTCAGTCTGTCATGTTATTTCATCTTCTTGTCTTACTGCCCTCCATTTTTCCAAAATTATTGCCTTTGCCACTGAATTTTGCCTTTTCCTTATACGTCCAAAGTATGAAATCT